AGAGATGCTAGTTTCGGGCGTACAAGACGATTCGGCTACTTCAGATAGTCCGCTTGGTGTGCTAGCCTCTCCGAGAGTCGGCGCGACAGCTACGATGCATGAGAGACCCAAGCCAACGGCGTCGTTCCTGCATACAGAGACTTCATTGGACTCATTCACCAAGCAGCTACCGTTCGCATCAGCGACAATTAGGCGAGCACTAGAAGGATTGGTAAAATGCCCGACAGAAGGAGAGTCTGGGAGAGACTTAATTTCAGAAGTAGGCAGAGCATGAATAACGCCACCAGTAGGTCCTAACCAGTAACAAGTCTGCAAAAAAATAAAGACACGAAAAAATAAACCATGAGCTTAGTAGCACACATATCAAACCACTTTAATAGTGTAGTTGAAGCATTAGATGTGCTCAGGTTAGAAAGAGGAGAATCATTCACGAAAGTACAATTTTCTATGACCTTGTCATCATTCACATGAATAAGCATGCCATTGCATGATTTAAAATGGCACCAGTTTTATGGTAAACGGCGGGCGTCCATTTACAGGGAGTTGAGTTAGCCATGTCACAAGCTAGCAAGAGGTTTCAACTCATGTATTGTTTCGTAGTAGATGATTTCTGTTCCTATTTACTCGGATAGTAGTAGTCTGACTTCGATTTCGCAACTTGGTCGTGCTGTCAGGGAGACCTAGTTGGACACACATTGCCCGGTAATTATCATAATTCCGAGCATTGGAACGTGGATTTGGTACAGTTCGAGACGCTTTACCGGCATCGCCAATAAGTCTTGACATTCTTAGCACAAAGCTACAACTCATCAAAGAGGCGAGTGAAAGAGACGCTGGGAATAATCATAACTGCTATAGCAGAAGACTTCGGACAAGGTGAGGCCAACTAGGCCGCGCTGACAACACGGCCAAGTTGCGAAAACGAAATCAGACCAGTTCTATGCATCGAAAGAAGAGTACAACTAAAAAAGAGGTTACGTCATATTAGTATACATATATACCATTATTTACGAAAGTTTATCAATACAAGAAAGATAGAAGATTGCAAGTCTACCTACTTATCATAGTCTGACTTCGTCAAAATAGTGAGACATTTCATGATTTTTACGAGGTTTATTCACCATATTTCGTTTAAGGTAGTTGAGTTTTCTTACAATGGTATGAGTAGAATTGGTGCTTCCATTATATTTCACATAGACCTGCTTTCCCCAAAAGTATTTTCATCCAGAATGAAGTGGACTGCAGTTCCGACCTCGCCTAGGTCTTATCGAGACCTCCAGCCGGAGTCGAACCATGATGATACAGCATGTAATATTGACTTGTTAACCACTACGCCACAATGCCATTAATGACCTTGAGTCACAGGGCCGATATGAATTTCAAGGAAGGCCAGGCATTTCCCATATCACATTCTTTGGTGGGATTGTCGATGAGGCAAAGTTGTAGTTGCTATGATAATAGACTACACTACTTATTCTTCGCTTATAAGTAGGGTATCGATACTACCATTAAATCAGCTATGAGGCGTATTCTCTCAAATTAATTTAAGGTGATGAAGGACTGGTAGTTTAATTTTGCCACAATGATATGAATAGAGCTGACGCTTCCATTTTGGGAGAGCAAGGCTAAGTAACATTCATAGGAAACGTCAGCTTTATTCATATCAGTTGTAAAACTCAACTATCAGTCCCTTATCATCTTAAACGAAATACAGTAAATACATCACGCATAACTGATTTACAGACACTTTTCAACACCCTAATTATAAACGAAAAATTTCATGATTTTTTTGGTTTTACCTAGTTTTCGCAATTCATTCTGTGCGTCAGGAAGATTTTATGGTATAGAAAAAGGTCAGATGTTGGAAAATAACATGGAAGCTGTGGCGGAGGATGCAGGACTAGGAACGTTCCACGAATCCAATCCAATGATATACAGTTAAATGATAATACGACTAAACGTAAAGCCATATAATTTATTTGGCTATTCCACCCCAAACGTACATGCTTGCAAAAACTGGCAGCGGGTGATACAAATACCGCGTACTTGTTAAAGCATGTAAATATGTTCATGTGCTCGAGGGCCATGCGCATGGAGTGCTTATGAGCCGTTTGGGGTTTAAGACTCTTAATGAGACTGGAGACTAGGTAAGCCTCCTCATCTTGCTCAGGAGAACTTAGAGCTCACACATAAATCCTCTCTAATAGCCACAAATAGTTGTTATGTGATTTCATATACTCGCTACTTATGGGCTGGACGTTAGCTGTTTGTTCATTTCTACAGAATCCCCTTACTTTAGCATTTTTGCGAAATATAAATAGTTTGCAAATAGTTTGGCTTTCTACCAATCTATCTGGTATCCTGTATTAGTTATGCATAAGACCAGTTCTTATGTTTGGCCACAAAACCTTCAAAGGCTGCTTCATGTTGAAACAGCCTTCTATGTATTGGGTAGCAAGTCTCCCCACGCACAAGTTATCGTATGGACACAAGTGTGTAGCAACCTGAATTAGGGCCATAAAATGGTATTAAGACGAATACTTTGCAGTTTTGCAACATGAAAAAGATTCAAGATTATTTCCTTATGGTGATGAAGAGAGTTCGCCATGGAATTAAAAGGATTGTGGTTTACCAATTTTCGATGTCCTAGTTGGTAAAGAAGGAACATCTGAAACTGCCTGTCACGTGAGAGAAAATCTCTGCAAGGATTCATCAGGGACGCAAAACGATGAGCAAGGGACTTATTCGCACAAAATCACAACCATAAATTCGAGACAATGCTCCTTCGGTTTCAGATGATGTCAATTTACCTAGCCCTCCTGTCCATCGTTTTAAACTAAATGGGAGATACAGCGAACCAAGAAAATATGGCTTGAGTCAAAGGGTTCTATCAAAAGTATCGTTTTTT